CGTCCCTGACATGGCCATGACACAGTGCTGCATTCGTGTTCCATGACGAGCAAAAGTGAACATCGAGATGTTTTAGCAACGGATGGTTGTCGGGATCATAAGATTATTAATCGGAACAAGATTGACATTTGAATTTCGTGCATTTGGACTCGTTTCCACAACATTTCCCACTTTCCCGTCCCCGAAAGTGGGAAATTGTTTCCCACAACATTTCCCAAAAATGTAGGAATTGAAATTGTTTTTGGTAAAAAAAAAAAACAAGTGCTCCTCAAAGAGTTCACAACAACACACCTTCCATGATTTTTTGGGATTTTTTCTCGTCCGTTTCCATTTTTTCCCGTAAAAAAGGTACCTTGTCAAAACTCAGGTGCTTACGGAAATTATAAAGATCCATTGTTGAGTTTGTAAAATAGGCCCAGGTTGCAAATGGACTTATCGGCCCAAATAAATTGGATGGGGGAAGTTCCTTGTACCAATCAAAGTCTCCAAGAAAAGTAAAGTGCAGGGAAAAACTTAAGAAAATAAATACGAGCGGGCAAATAGACTGCAGACTTAGCCAAGAAATTAAGGAGCACGCCACCTCAAAGGGCATATTAGCCCTCAAAATCGGAAACTATGGCTGCCGAAACCACTTTAAAAGAAAACAACCAACAATAGTTGGTGATCTGTGGTTACCGCTATTTTTCCAATTGCGGTGGCTGGCTTCAATGCCACTTGCAAGAATAGAAATTTCAGTCCATTGTATTTTTCTTTTGAGAAAGACTTTAATTTAGGGTTGGCTTCTTCTTGATTTCCTCTTCTCCCTGTTGCTGGATTTTTATTTCTTTTAGGTTTGATTTTGTGGTTGACTTCCTTGTTTTGGTCGAAGGAAATTGATCGAAAAAATATTTCTGTTTGTCGAAAAAAAATTGCTTTCTAGTAGCTATATATTTTCATTCATTCTTTCTTTGTTTGCTGACTTCCGTGATTCTTGAGTAGAACAAATTCTTCGGAAAAATTGTTTTTTCGGTGGCTTTTTTGGTACGTGGTAAAACATGGTTAACGTACCCGTTCCCACAGACAGTGTCAATGATGATGCCAAAATTCATACCTGGGCCAATCCCGAACTGGATGAAAGAGCTCCGCTTGATCCGATCTTTAATACCTAAAATAAAGGCATCGAGGTGTCCTCGTCGCCCCTCCGATGCTTAAGTCAGACAAGTGTGCAAGAAGAAATATGCTAGAATGTTATGAAAACATACCTCAATAATGATGCTAGGTTACGTATTTATAAATGTTGGAGGGGGAGTCCTGGAATGACTTAACTTCATGTAATTCTAGTTATTTTACATATTTGTATTGTGTTAAAATTACACAATTTGTGTCATGGTAAAATTTGTAATGAATTAGGAGTTTATATTCAAATAGCACTAGTATTTCTATACCCAACTTCATAATGGGCCCGACCTCGAAATCAGCCCAGTTGGAGTGGGCCAAGATCGGGCCTACTAGTTCAAGTAGCTCGATCTCGGGCCTATCGATATTTTTTCTACATCACATACAAAAATACATTTTTTTCCCTTTTAAAATTAGTGAAAATAGTAAAAAGAAATTAAGTGGTCATGACGAATTGTTATATGAAATTAAGTGATCATAGTGAAACGTTATACGAAATTTGGTGGTAATGATGACACTAAATATAAAGTAGACGATAATAGTAAAACAAAATCAAATTGAAAGATGAGACAATAAATATAAAGTTGGCTGGTGATAAATTTAACCTTAATGACATGGCGCAAATTTTTTCTTGCCAACACAACCGTTGAACATTAATCGTCAGATCCCCTTTTCACTCTCAAATAAACAAGAAAAAGAAAGAAGGGATAAAACTGAAATAATCTCAGCAAAACAAACCCACACGCAAAATCTACGGCAAAATCAAACAAGAACAAAGAAAATCATTGTCAATTTAACATGGGTGCTCTAATCAAGCTCATTGATTTAACACTCTTCATATTCTTTTTTGTCATTGCCTTGGCAGCACCACTTATCGATTCTCAAACCTGTCTTCCTCGACACCTATTTCCGACAGCTTTGATTGATATTAAGAGCTGGTACGGACGTGAATATGGGGACTATTTGATTGCGGAGAAGCCGCATTTCTTTGTGGGGCTTGTATGGGTTGAGCTTCTTTTTCAGTGGCCTCTCGCTGTTGCCTGTCTTTATGGGATTGCAGCTGGAAAGTCTTGGCTAAACACCACCTGCTTGCTTTACGGGGTCTCCACTTCCACTGCTATGGTACACAGCTATTTCTTTGCCCTTTTTGCATCATGATTTATTGATTAATTTGTTGAGGTATTTTTTTGACATTATGATCTGACGGGATAAGTTTATTTGAATTCTTGTTCTCTCTAGATATTTTGTTGGATTAGACTCCTTTCAGTTTGATCTTCGTCATTAGTTTATTTGTTATATATTTTTGATCTGATTTATTGTCTAATTATATTTAAGAATTGGGCAATGATGAAATATAATCTTTTGCCAGAGTTTTTGTCAAGTACTTCTTTTGTGGAATTTAGCAACCTCTTTGAACTTTTTTCGCCTTCGCATTATTTGCTTTAAACTCTTTCCAGTCATTATTAGAGTAAAGATGCAATTCATCATAAGCAGCATCAGAATTCAGTTTTTCAGCCAATTGAAGTGTAGAAATTGTTCGAAATTTATTTTTCGAAGATATGAATGGAAGCTTGATATCCTATTCCAATGACTCAATGGAAACGGATTGAACTGGACCAAGACTGGCCATTTCTACCTGTTCAGTTTAAACAGTGAGATTTGTGTGAAAAGTTTTCGATTATATTAATGTGCATTGCACTCTGCAGAGTTGATCTATAGAGTGGAAGTGACTACCTAGATGTGGCCTTTGGTACCTTGATCATGAAAGAACTGATAGACAATTGCAATGTTCTTCATACGAGAATGATAACAGATGGCTCCAACGTTGTCATAGGAAATGGTTAAAGGTTAGGTAGATATGTGCAACTCAGCAAGAGGATTTTCTGCCCAATTAACTTCTGCAACAGTGGAAACAAAGACATGATATTTCACTTTTGTTGTTGATCAGATAAAGTTTTGATTTATAGAATTTCATTAATTGTAATAGAACCTAGGAACACAATGTAGCTAATGCCAACGTTCGATCATTAGTTTGTCCACCAAATTGACATTAGGGACTACATGAAGGGCAAAGGAAAGCTACAAGTGAGAAATAAAATAAAGTCAGAAGTGCCCTTTCAGGGACTACCATTAGGCTTTCTTGAATGCACATCAAATTGTGACTGATAGAGTATGCAATTATGCATATACTGAGATATCTTGTTCACGGTGAAGCTAATATCCAGTTGAGAAAAAGATAAACATTGGAGTGCTCCAATTACTTGGAAATATAATGTAGCTTCAGTGGATCCTCCTATCATGGAGCTGGAGTACTTTGGCTGTGGAAAGTAGAGTGGTGACAGATTTGACATCGCATTCTATTTTTCACCAATTAGTACATCGTTTCTATGATACAAACAAGCTGTTTTGTCTGTGAAGTACCTTGACACCAAAAAAATAGTGGAGTGTGCCGAGGTCTTTAATGGAGAATCAATAGGCAAATTTGTTGATGAACTTTCTCTAAGGATAGCAAATTATTTTGTCACAATACACCATGGATAAATAGTTAGAGAGCCTCGATATAAACACACAAAGAGGTATCAGACTTAGAGTTTTTAAAGCCCTATGATGTGAGAAAGCTGCGGAGTCCATGAAATCAAGCACATGAGCTTTTTAGTTTGAGCCCATAGATGACTTTCTTGTGCCTATAAACATGAGTAGTGCAGTGAGTATATATGACAGAGGGATTGTTAAATGTACAGGTTGTCGTCCAATGTGCCTCAAATAAAGGCATTGGCATTCTTGACATCCAATTGCTACAAGGACCACCTTCATGTGACGACAATAGTGAGAATGATTTGGATTCTGGTAGTCTATTGTCGTAGGTGTAACCACCAGGCTAAAAGTAGTATGAAAGTCGCTGTTAGGCCATCAATGAAATTTTTTAACTACCATTTCAGCTTTTACTATATTAATAGATTCTATACAATTATTTCAGACAAGCAGTTCAAATTTCTTGCTCATGGCTTGACGTCACTAAGGGAGTTCGCGAGCTTGAGTGTGGATCAATGGTTCATGAACGGTGTTCTAAGAAATCCTTTAGCAACTATTCTGGTTCATCAAATTATGGACTCTAACAAAAAGAAGAATTCAATGGATGTCCTATTATTTTTGCCAAATTGAAATACTGAAATCAATATTTTTCTAAATGGCAAGAGCACACAGAACATTATTTAATTTGAAAGTTATAAGAGAAGTGGAGCCGGTAAGAGCAGTAATAGGGATAACTAATCAATATCCTATAGAATTCCTTCTTTACTTCCATATTGTTAGTGAATAGTGAGATTTTAGAGGTCTGAAGTGATGTGGGGGAAGGGTGTGATTCAACATGGATTTATCAAACTCTCATAGAAAAGGGTCTATTCGTGCTTCAATGATTTAAATTGGTGAGTGCCAACTACAGAACTTATCAGATGACTAGTTAATTCTGAACTTTGATAATCAATTGCTTGTATCTCGACGAAAAATATAATGCACGCTCAAAATTCATGGTAAATTCACGGAGGTCAAAAACTAGTGTACATTCCTATTTTTTAAGTTTAGGCTTGCAACTTCATGATAAGTTCATGGGTCATGAGGTATATCCGGAGAGCCCAGCACCACCTATCAAATATACGTGGCCGGACACCCATGCCCATCAATTTCCCCCTTTTTTTGTTCAAAGAGCCATGGAGCCTGGGCCAAGGAGAATGCATAGATCCAAGGAGCTCCTTTCAGTTGGGCTTTGTTTGTTTTATATAAAATTGGCCTGTACAAACCACAGGCTCAGATTGCCTTGCCTGGCATAGTCTGCCTTTCCAGGAGGACGGTGCCGTGCCTGGATGAGCTTTATTACTTGGTTATAGTTATGCTGCTACAATTGAATGCTTCATTTATCGTTGCTTTCATTTGGTTTGTGAAATGTTTTGTTTCAATACATAATCTGAATATAACTGCTTGCTTGACAACAAAAAGACCATCTTTCTTATTATATTCACCTTTTTTCATCTTGCTCATGTTCTTTTTCAGGTAGCCATACTTTCTGAACTTACATTGTCTAAAAGAGCATCTGAACGGCTGTTAACCATGTACTTCCCCTTTCTCGGGTTTGCTATTTTAGCAATATTACGCGGTCTGACATCTCATGCTGGAAAGACCATGACAATCGGAAAAAGACCCGTGCTAAATAGAAAAAAGAGGGCTTGAAGTCATACGGTCGTGCACTGAGCTGCTGCGAGTTTTTCTGCCTAGTCACTAATTCCTGAAGTTCCCTTCCTTTCCGTAGTTGGATAATTTTTGGTTTCGTTATCTAGTTGTAAACAAATTTCTAAAAATTGAGTTTTTATTTTTATCAAGAATCAAGAAATGACTTTAGTACGACAAATGGTTGTTTGCTGATTGAGATTGTTGTTAGTCAATGTGCTGTTTTTAATAGTGTTCTTCTCTTAGTCACATTTTGTGATGTGCTCTTGCCTCTTACTGAAGATTGAACTCTCTAAAAGCTTGATTTATCAGACGAGATGGTGTAACCTTGAGACTTTTTAATATTTGTGCACGTATAATGTCTCTGATGAATTAATATAGTGTCTTTTTGATGCAGCACACATGACACATGTTAAGTATTGAGTAACTTTTTGGTGCATACAAGCGTCAAGAATTTAATGCCCAAAACAAGAGAAAAACCTTATGAAAGTTAACGCCCAAAATAGTCTCACTAAAACGAAAGGTAGAATTGAAATAGCAACTGCAGTGTGCTGATGCTCCACGCACTCTGCAGTGTCCAATACTTATTTTTGTTTCCGTCTTAGCACTCCACGAACACCACTATGTCTCGACATGTATCAATTTTTCAGAATTACAACGTTATAAATTTTTGTACATTTTTTCACGCCTTCTTTTCTTTCTTCCTTTTTGGAACATTTTAAAAATGTCATATCATGTCATGTTTCATTTTCGATTTCCGCGCACCCAAGGCAGTCTCTCTCTACCTACCTACCTACCTACCTGTCCATGAAGAAAATTTAACGATGCGTTTCGGATGCAAACAAGCAACAATATGTCTAATGGTTCAATGAGTTGGTGGGATATTTTGGCCTCTCAATATGAACCGCCAATATGTTTTGACAAGTCATATCAATTGACTAAAGGAAATTTGACCCCATTATCCCATAAAATGCCAAACATATATTGCTATTGCATTGAACCCTAGCTAGGAAACTGGCATGGAAAGTAACTTGTATAAAATCTTGACCTTTAGGGGCTGATTTTAAGCACAATGGCCCACTCTCTCAAGTTTAATTATTCTTCAATATGGAGCCACAAATTCAATGAATATTTTCAAGTACAATTTGATGAACGCTAGATGTCACATACGATAGTATCAAAGCAATCAAAGATTTCTGCACAAATATCCCACTCAATGTTAATGAAAGTTTCACGAATCAAAGTTCGAAAAGTAAAATAAATTTTTAGACACGATAATCATTGTGTCTTCATCTAAAATTATAAATCGTTAAAATATGACGAATATATTTGTTTAAATTATTTTCAACACTTCCTCTAACATCTATGCAAGATTCATTTTCCAAAAGGTCAGAAAATTAACATGCTTCAATAATAATTTGAAAATTCTAATATTTTCTTGTCTCAGTTCCACACTTTTCTTTTAGGAGACAAAATTGTCGATTATTATTAGTACTTAATTCATATAACTTCATAAAATTATGTTTTGAACTATATTAAAATTCGATAAAGTGATTAATACTAGAAATAGGAACAAAATCGTTGAAGTTACTAGTGTTCTATTCAACATAATGCTAGAAAAATGAAGGACTTGGATCGTTCCATAATCGATTGATTTTGTTCCAATTCGATTCTTTTCTTTTGTTGCAGTTACGAGTGTTCTACTCTCATAATTTTCAATGAGAATTGGCTAAGTCTGGTTCTAAAAAATCAAGAAAAGATCACCCAGTGTCTACCCTAACGTTGAACTAGTTTAAATGTATATAAAATACTTGAGATTTTCACCTACCACTCCTGGTTCAATTCGCGAATTAATAGAAACTTGTTTGCCTTTAAATTTATTTATCGGAATGTCATATATTATTCTTATTTTAGGTGCCATTTTTCAGACATTGATCTTCACAATACTTTAATTAATCAATAACACAGATTTTGACAATATTTGGAATGTCAAACTAAGTGTTCAATTCTATATTTTATTAGTTCTATACTCATCCTTATGTTTTGAAATTTCTACGTTTTAATAATTTTTTACAAAAAAACGTGTTTTTATTAAGATGGAAAAATTGGACCGTCGAAATGCATTTAGCACGAGGTTTATAAAACGACAATTGCATCACACCATAATTGAGACACTCGAGGAGGGTGAAAATGACACCAACGAGTTGTAAGCTGGCCCTCTCAATTATTTTGGCGCGAGAAGGATTCCAACGATTGATATGCAAGTATCCTTAGTCGATATTTGAGGTAATAATTGATAGATTTTTTGTTTTCACAATACTGGGAGATCGACGAAAAAAATATGTTGCTCAATATTATTAATATCAAGAGTTTTATCAAACATTTCTTTGATCGGTAACGTTTGATTTTTAATTACACGATTCAAAAATTGTAAAAAAAATGTCCAGGATGATTTCGAAGAACATAGCTAAATACATGAGAAGAAAAGATTTATTCATTTATTGTGTAGCATATTTAATGTTGTATTATGATATACTATAGTTTGTCATTTGGGGGAAATATCACGAGTTATATTTATTTAGTAAAATGTATCCATTTTTATTTCTTTCGATCAATTATATGACACTATAAAAGAATGCACTTTATCGTTACCAAATCAAAACCATCGTCTCTTAGACGAGCCAAAAATCCATAGTTGAAACCCCATCTCGGGTGAAGGAATAACACGTTGGAAATCTCCAACATCTAACGGTCCATTTGAATGAAAACTCGAACAATTCATCAATATTCTCACAAAAATGTGATGGATTTTGTTTATTGGAAATTGGCCGTAGTCCGTAGAGCATTTTCTAGTGGTGGAAAACCACAATTGTTATTATTTTTTAGGAATGTGTTACCTAGAAAAAAAAAACCAAATTGGAAAGAAATAGAAATTAGTACATTTGTATGAATTCAACTTGTATACTACTATAAATTCAAATATATGGGAGAATATTCCAATATAGATCATTTCTGGTTGGGTCGCCTTTTGCGACCTGTTGATGGGCAGCAAATGACAACTAGCCCTCATAAGCTTGAGAGGTCAGTCACCCCCCTCACCTCACCCCACCCCACCCATCTAACTGGCCATACTGCTTCATGAACAGTGCTATATATATGCATGAATCCCTGAGGTTGGGCTAAGTCAATCATCCCACGTCCCCTTCACCTCCGCCCACAACAATTTCTGCCCATTACAGCCTTTGCTAGTTATTTACAGAAACCTAAAATTAATGGCTTTTGCAGCAAAACAATTCTATTCATCTGCTACATTTTCTAATCATGTGCAGCACAAGAATTTGCCCTCCAAAACCCATTTTTCATCCTTTATTCCCAATCAAGTTGTTGGGAGAAAATGTGAAAAGCCAAATGTTTTAGCCTGCAGAAAGCCTTTGTACATTTCAGCAGTAACTGGATTTGGCTATATTGGTGAACCAGAGAATTCGAAACCTCGAGACGCTACAATCCAGTGCAATGCGTACGAAGCTCGTCGAGCGCAGCCTTTACCGATTAGCATCGAATTCGATCGAGAAACACGAGAGGCTGCTGCCCAGAAGATTAAGATTAGTGTTTATTTTGCTACATGGTGGGCCCTAAATGTTGTGTTCAATATCTACAACAAGAAGGTCCTCAATGCCTTTCCATTCCCGTGGCTTACTTCAACTCTATCTCTAGCAGCTGGCTCTCTTCTCATGCTGGTTTCTTGGGCTACAAAGATCGCTGAGGCTCCAAAGACTGATTTGGAGTTCTGGAAAACTTTGTTACCTGTAAGCAGACAAACCCTTCTACTTCTTATTTATATTGTTTTGAATTTTTGACCCTAAATTTATTGAGAACGAGGCTTAATGTGTTTGTTTTGGATTAGGTTGCTGTGGCACACACAATTGGGCATGTGGCTGCAACAGTAAGCATGTCAAAGGTAGCAGTTTCATTTACACACATTATAAAGAGTGGTGAACCAGCTTTCAGTGTTTTGGTTTCAAGATTTCTACTTGGAGAGGCTTTTCCGACATCAGTCTACCTTTCACTTGTGCCAATTATTGGAGGCTGTGCCCTTGCTGCTGTCACTGAGCTCAATTTTAATTTAATAGGTAAGAGCACTAAGCCCGCTCCGCATGTTTGATATGTAAAACCAAAAAAGGAAAACTCTAAGCCCGCTCCGCATGTTTGATATGTAAAACCAAAAATGGAAAACTCGAGTACTCCATGATTTCTCGGTCCTTTTTGGAAGTGGGAACTGTAAATCAAAAATCTAATCGTTGATCCTGGTCTGTGCAATCTTATTCAGAAGTGGGAACAATCAATAATAACTCATTAAGATTCAGTGGAAGTAAGTCAAAATCAACAATTAATTTTAACAACACATTTAATGGAGCCCACAACTTTTTAACCACAAATTTCATCAACTTTTATCTAAATATACTAAAAATTTGATTTTAATCTCCACTTGAAATATATTACATGTTGTTATGTGAGGGTTGGAATTATGTTGACGGATCCTAGACCTCCATATAAGGGATACGGGTAGCGGCATGATGGTTTTTCCTTTTTAGCGCTTTAGGCTAAATTTTGGAGTGGGGATACACTGTTGTGGGTGAAATGGTCTACGAACTTCTTGGAAGACGTGTGCAATTCGAATTTGCTAGCTACTTAGCGCAATAGGTTTTATAAGCGCCTCATATTGTTCTGAGGGCAAAACAAAATTAGGTTTTACTGATCATTGATTCATTTATATGTACACTATTCATTGTACCAAACGTGTCAATATCTTTATTTAAGACTAATTACTATTGTTCATATGATTTCAGGGTTTATGGGGGCAATGATATCAAACTTGGCATTTGTGTTTAGGAACATATTTTCCAAGAAAGGCATGAAGGGGCAGTCAGTGGGAGGGATGAATTACTATGCTTGTCTTTCAATGTTGTCTTTGCTGATACTTACTCCCTTTGCAATTGCTGTGGAGGGTCCCCAAATGTGGACTATTGGGTGGCAAAAGGCCGTTTCTCTTATTGGACCAAATTTTGTTTGGTAAGCTAAATAAGTGATTATTTTCATGTTTTGAGCTTATAATTAAAAGTTTCCATTTCTAATTACCAATTCTGGCTGTGAAATTTTTGTGGCATGGTAGGTGGGTGGTGGCCCAAAGTGTGTTCTATCACCTCTACAATCAAGTGTCCTATATGTCACTGAATGAGATCTCCCCATTGACATTTAGCATTGGGAATACAATGAAGAGAATATCTGTCATAGTATCATCTATTATCATCTTCAGCATCCCTATTCAACCAATCAACGCACTTGGTGCTGCTATTGCCATCTTGGGCACTTTTCTTTATTCTCAGGTAACCTACCCACAACCCTCCCTGAATTCCCCACCCCACAATTTTTTGAGTTAGAAATTTACCGTCTCGAACTTGCTCTAACATTTATCGTTCTTGGAATACATTTTTGACACACACATAGCCTCTTTTAAGTAATTAGGAAAAGATCGAGTTGTTATGTGTCTAGATGTCAAAAAATATATGTACGTCTTTCCATTTACTAAAAGAAATTGATGTTATGTGTCAAAAATGAATAGGAGGGAAAGCAAGTTTGGGACAGCTTTACTTTAATTTGTTCCAAATTAGTCCCCCATTGAAGTTTCACCCTATATTTCTTTGTTGTATCTCGTGTAGAATTTTTAATTACTTTTATAAATAGTTTAGGACAAAATATCTTATTCAATTCTAACTTTAGATGCAACTTGTAACGTGTGCCCTTTTTTTTTTTTTTTTTTTTTTTTTT